ACGCAGGTCAGCGGGACTCAGGGCAGCTGCTAAAGTGCTGGCTACAAAAACGACGTCATGATATCAAAGTGCTGGCGACAGGGGCCCCAGGGGACCGTCAGATCTGACTGTGTCCACGCTGTGGTGATGACCTGCGCTTGTGTGTGAAGCCAGAAGCCTGAGGGAGTGTGGGCAAATGGGCACGGGTGTCGGTTAGGGGCTGTGACCAGAGCGTCGAGGGGTTTTACCATCTTTGTGCACTAAATCAACTCCTTATGCAAATAGGAAAGGGTGTGCTTATTATAAATTTTCCTGGTTGACAAAAGAAGTGCACGATAATCTCGAAAGAGGCAACAAAAACCCAGCATGTTACAGGGCTAGTTTTTCTTTTTCTTTTCTAAGAAGTAAATCACTCCTCATTCCCTGCAAGTAATCAGTAGATCCTGAAAGAAAGCGCTGTTAGGTTTGGGTCCTGATTTAAGGACTGGGCTGAGCGCTGGGCTCTTGCTAAGTGCAGTCCTGATGGGAACCCACCCAGCACTTACAAAGCAGATGCGCAAAGTCCTGGAGCCTGCCCTAGGCCACGGGGCCAGGACACAAATGCTCCAGCCACAGACAGGCCATGGGGCCACGGGATACAGGACAGGCCCTCTGACGTCTTTTCTTCCACCTCTAAGAGCCGACAAAACTCGCCTGAGAGCATTTGTAATTCTTTGCATTGACATGCAGGGGCTGTGATTGCCCCCGTGGCTGCTGGGCCTCACGTCACTACGATGCCTCTTGACAAGTCCAGACCCTCCGGGTCCCACCTGATGCCCCTCCTCAGTTCCAGCTCACCTTGCCTGTGCCTGGGCTCCAGCCACACCACACCCGCTCTCCCCGGCCTCTCCTCGCTATCCGGTCCTCTCTCAGCGCCCCATCTCCCCGATGTCCACTCTTCCTGCACACTTCAGCTTGTATGTGATTTCCTCTCAGAAATCTTCCCCTGGCCACTTTTTTTTTTTTTTTTTTTTTGGTGGACCATAGTTATGACGTCCTTAAAACTTTTTCCCAAGTAAGTAATTTGTTTTTTTTTTCAAAATTTTATTGAAGTAATTTGCTTTTAAATTGACAAATTTAAATTGTATATATTTGTAGTATACAATATAATGTTTCTAAAATTCTGTCTTAGTCACTCTCTTTTTGCCGGGACAAAAACTTGACACCCTCAGTTCAAAGGACAGGTTTATCGTGGTTCACTTTGCCCATCTGCTTTGTAAGGGCTGGGTGGGTCCCCATCAGGACTGCACTTAGCAAGAGCCCAGTCCACACGAGGCCAGCTCCGAGGCAGGAAGGGTGGGTGGAAGGGCCTGGAGGAGGAAAGCCACTCCCACCTGGAGACCAGGAAGCAGAGGGAGAAGGGAGGGGCCAGGAGGCAGCTGCACCCTTCCAAGCCTGCCCTGTGGCCTCCAGCAGGCCCCGCCTCCCGACAGTGGGACAGCTGCGGCACCCGCAAGATCCAGTCACCTTCCAGGCCCTAGCTTGCAGCAGGCACTGGGGACACCCAGACATAAACCCAGCCCGAAACAGACGCCACGGAACGGCTACGTCGAGCTACTTAGCTTATGTTACTCAGTACTTTTCTATGGGAAAGAATAACAAGCCCCTCCTCTGCCTGCCTATTGAAGTTATCCTAAGCGTCCTAGTGACATCAACAGCGTGCTAGCTACATCTGCAGGTGATTTTTATTTTTGTTACTATTCTACTTATTCCTACGTCTTTCGCCTGATAACTTCCCACATGGAGAACTGCTCAATGAAAGAGGAGAAGCATGGCGCTGTCCTTTAAAAAAGGAACAACACGGTCAGGCTACTTTCTATGACGTGTACAGAGGCATTAACATCTTCTAAAAATATACTGCACTGAGGCCAGCCAAATGGCACATGCTTGTAAGTCCAGCACTCTGGAGGCCGAGGCAGGAGGCTCACTGTGAATTCAAGGCCAGCCTGGACTACACAGTGCAGTGGGGGGTAGCCAGGCTTGTCAGCCAGGAAGGTGTGGGACATTGCTGGAGGCCACGACTTTGCCAGAGCAGAGGAGAGGGGCCACTGCTGCCCACACACAAAGGGACTCTGCAGTGGACACCCCCGGGCCTGCCCTGGCATGTCCCTGTCCTTGGATCACTGTCCCTTTCCTGTGCACTCTCTCCACTCACAGAACTCGAGCTCTCCCCTGGCTCTCTCCCAGGGCTCAGGAGTCCCCTTCAGTCCAGGTCATGGATCCACACCTTCCCAAGCAATGCATTCATGAGCTTCGAATATTAGGTTCTGGCTGCAAAATTATTTAACTGAACAGTATTGATACTCCGACCCTCCTCTGCAAGGACAGCAAGGCGACCTGGACTTGCAGGAGGAATGGAGGCAGGAAGTCTGCGGAGAGCGGGGCGGGGTGGGCAGGCCTTCTCGCCTGCACATTTTGTTCCGTTGGAGGTCAAGACTTTTCCCACTCCCAGCAAAGAAAGGGCCGGGTGCTGATGGCTCCTCCTCCTCCTGGCAGCAGCAACAAAACCCTGTGGGAAGGGGGTTCGGCTTTTTTTTTTTTTAAGTGTTTCATATGGACTGCAAAATTATAAATTACTCGCCTCTCCTTTCACTAAGTAATCTACTGGTTTCTGAGGCTGAAAGACCAGCACCATTCGGTCAGAGTCTCCAAATGCAGGTTTGGCGCAGCCCCGCGAAGGCTGTGCAGCTTTTAATTTCTGGAGCAAGACTCAGCAAACAGTGGAACACTTTTGTGGAGCTGTGAAAGCTGAGCTTCGCTGTTTGATAAATGAGCAGACGGGCAGGCAGCCCCTTTCTTGTTTTGTGTGGATTCAATGAAGCCTGCCTAAAGAACGCCACATGCTGTTCTCGCTACTGATCTAACATTCCGCAACATCCCAGCCTTCCAAATTCCCTTTAATTACTCGGGATCCCACCCTTCTCCCTTTCAGTGGGCAGACAGGGCCGGGGGCTCCAGCTGGGGTGGGAAGCGGCTGGGTCCTTTCAGGAATGACTCCGGGACTCATCTGCACCCTGACAGGGTCCTGTGGGTGCAATTTACAGACCCAGAGCCAGAGGCCAGCACTGGGAGGCCACAGACCCTACGAACTTCCTCCTGAAGGCGAGGAAGAGGGTGGCGTATCACATGCAGCGCTCAGTGCTGTGCTAAACTGTGGGGGAGAGCATGGTGCCCACCTTGCAGGTGAGAACAGGTCAGCGAGGAAGGCTGTGGCCAGAGAGGAAGCAGGCACTGGGTCCCGTGGGTCCCCTCTCCTTTCCTCTTGCTGACACACATTCCCAGGACCAGCAAGGTGGACTTCAAATGCCTGTGAACCTGGCAGTCCTCTCTTGGCATCGGCTCCAAAGACACTCTGGGGCCACACAGGAAGGACAACTGGTCCCCGCTGTATCGCATCTTGAGGTTCTGACCCTATTTTGTGGGGTCGCAATCCACCTAGTCGTTGGGCACTGGGTGTGTTCATGAATGCAAGCCACCCTCAGTGGCCAAAGACTTGCACCACCAAGAAGCGACCTAAAAGAACTTCAGGGTGACGCGAGGCTCCTGCAGGGTAGAGACGCGGCCATGTGCAGACAGCAGCCTGGACGCTGCCAAAGGCCATGCTTCGGGCACTGGGTCCTGCGAGGGCTCTGGGAGGGGGAGGGGGATGGGAGTAGCAAGAAGTTGGAAATGTAATAAAATGGCAAGTTCTTGTTTTACAATCATGCATTATGAAATCTTACGGCTTTTTAAAATGCTTGATTTTATTTCAACAAAAGAAAGAAATGATTAGGGAGAGAGGTTGGCTCCAGGATCTGACTGTCAAACATTTAAGTCTCCGAGTGGCACGCTCTCTTTTTTGTCAACAAACCAAGCATTTTCTTAGAGGAGAAAACAAAAGGAGGCTGGTGGCGACCTGAGGACTTCTGCAAGAACTCCACAAGAGAAGTCTCGTAATTTCTGCAAGAAATTCATACGAGTGCAGTGAGCCAGAGGAAGAATTTTAAATCACGCAGATGGATGGATGGATGGATGGATGGATGGATGGATGGATGGATGGATTCTGTGAAAGCTCCCAGAGCCAGAAGGCCACAATAGGCTTTTCCACCCTGGAAGGGGGACCCTGGGTCCAACTGCAGGAAGTCCAGGGCCCCCCAGGGAGCCCAGCGCCCTCTGGGCGGCTGCACGGCACCTCATGCACTCCTGAGCAGAGACAGTCATTGTCCTCGGAGATAGCTGGAGCGAGGCAAGTTACATAAGACACAGGGTAAGACAAAAATGGAATAATTCTGCAGACGATAATAAGAGCGGGTGCGGGTGGGGATGGCAGAGTGTGTGATGTGGGACATTTTTAGAACAATTGTTCTCAGAATTGTTCAGAAGGAAGGGTACCTAGAAGGGCTGGAATGCCAGTTCGGCAGTGCTGATCTGCTCAGTGCGCAGCCCCGAAGCGTGGCTGCCGTGCCCACAGATAATCCCAGCGTGTGTGCAGGTGTGAGTGCCTGTGTTCACCGGCTCCGCGCCCCGGCCTTCTCCTTCACTGTCCCCAAGTCCTCTGGGGCTGCTGCATCATCTCACTCACAGACAAGGAAACTGAAGCCCAGGGCTGCTGAGGAGTCACCTGGGCCCACCAGCTGGCGCATGCGGTGCGGAGATTTGATCATCTTCTGCAGTGTAGCTCCATAGCTGTGCACGGGATCCCGGCAGACAAGACAAGAGGCCGGCTGGGCTTGAGGACTGTCAGGGAGCAGGGCCATCACGTCACAGCAAGGGGCCCCAACACTAGCCTAAGATGGCAAGCAGGGAGGGATTGAGGCAAGGAGGCCACTGTGCCCAGCTGCCACTACCGTGCATCCACAGGAGTGGGGTAGGCAAGGCAGAGCAAACTGCCCACAGGCAGCCCGCTCCCTTCCTCAGGTCTCCTGGCTCCTCGGTCACTTCCCAGGGCCTCCCAGCCTGAGCGCAGAGGCAATGGCTCAGCTTATGTTTCTGATTTAAAGGTATCACGAAAAAGTGATAAACCTGGAGAAACCACATTTTGAATCTGGGTCTCTTCTGGGCTGGAGACGTGGGGAGAAGGGAAACACGTGGCACATGGAGGGTCAGGTATGGCACATGAACTCCTGACTCGCCCCTCTGAGGGGCTCATGTGATGTCAGCCCAGCATGAGCGAGGGCACCCATGCCTGGTTGGACCCCGGGTTCTACCATGGCTGCACAAGTGACTGAAGGCTGTGGGAACCCAGTGCCCTGACTTGGACAAGCAGGCTAGCTCTCTGCCTGCTTCCTTTCCTAGGAGAATTTCCCAGGAAGATAGTTGTGCATTCAAGACCAACCTTAGCTACAAGTACGTTTTAGCCCTGGGAACAAGGACAGCTGATGAGGGGCAAGGGAATCACTGGGGGCCACCGGGCCCATGGCTGGGGCCGGGACTCTGTGCCCCTCTTCCTGCAGCTGGTGTGGGGTGTGACTTTTAGAGTCTAGCTAGAATGGGAGGTGACATGGAAATGGGAAGCCATCAGCCTCAGGTGGCAAAGCACAGAGCCAGGAAGAGCTCCAGTCGCCAATGTGATGATGGAGTTACGCCGAACGAACCAGCTTTCTTCTCCCAGACTTTAAGAAAGAAAACAGAATTCTATGCCTCTGTTTGGGGGTAGAGAGGGCATCTTCTGCCCACAGTACCAACACAATCCTGGTACACCGATATACCTTCGCATTTCTGCCCAGGATTCCCTTTATAGAAAATGTCCCAGCTGGGCATGGTGGCACACACCTGTCATCCCAGCGCTCAGGAGGCTGAGGCAGGAAGATCATTGTGAGTTCAAGACCAGCCTGGGCTACAAAGTGAGCTGAAGGCCAGCATGAACCACATAGCAAAACCCTATCTCAAAAAGATAAAAACCCTCCAAAAAACAAAATAAAAAAGAAAGACAGTGGTCTAGGTCTTAGCGCCTTTGCACTGGCCAGAAATCTCATAGCAACGGCACAGGTCCTAGAGGCCACGACCCCATCACTGAATGGGGATAAAGGCAGCACTCACGCTTCTCACCCAGTGGCCTTCTCCACATGCGTGGAGCTTGGAAGGCAGCGCTCGTCCTCAGGACAGACTAGCTTACCAGCTGACCTGCTGGGTTCTACCACAGCCCGACTGACTGGGGCACGGACGGAACACTAGCTCCCACCCACTGATGTCACTGCCCATGCAGAGGGGAAACGCTCAACTCCAGCCACCCACTCTTATTGGGGGGTGGGGATGAGAAACATACAGGGTGAGGCCTAGGTTCAGGACAGACTGGGACCCGCC